ACTGACCTGGCTCTGATCTCTGTTATCCCCAACCAACAGTGGGACAGCATTTTAGGGCAAAGCTGGACACAACCAGGTGGGTTTTCCCTAAGGTATTGCACTTTTATTTTTAAACCAGTGTCTCTAAGAAGACCCTGACTGGCCATCCTGATGGAGCAGGTCTGTTTCTCTTCCCTGCTCTCAAGCCTTTCTGATGGGAAGAGTAGGACCATGGGTGGGCAAGGGTTGGTCTTGTCTGTGCAGACCAACAACCTTGTAAGTTCTTCAAAATAAAAAGTAATTCTCAGGAGCTTTGTTGCCATCTCCCACCTCCTTTCTTTGCTCTCCTGCTGTAGGCACATCAGGGGCACAAATACAAATTCCATGGGAGGTGTTTTGGGGGTATCAGATAGGGGAAAAAAGTAAAATTAATTAACATGGAAGTATTTGTATTAGGTGGGATGAATCATTAACTTGCTTTACCTTGTCCTAATGATACAAAAGCAGTAATTCCTTCTCCCTGGGGGTCACACAGAGCATTTCTCATCTTCATGAAAGCTGATGAATTTGAACAGGATGTCCAGGTGTTCCTGTCATGCCTGAGAGCAGTGAAATCCTGACCTGGAGTTGGGATCTTTAACAAATTTTTCAGGCCTTAAAACCACCTTGGAAGTTCCTTTCATGTAGGTAAGGGGGTTGAGCTCCTTTCTTGCCATGAATGTGCAATGTGAGAGGTGAGAAAAGGAGCTTTTGAGGGGAGGAATCATAAAATCATAGAATCAACTGGGTTGGAAAAGACCTTTGGTTTCTTTAACCAAACCAACATCTTCACCCTTAAGGTTTCCAGTAAAGCCATTCATTGCCTCATGCAAATCTGTTTCCTTGCTTTAACACAGCAGGAAGAATTCTCCTGCCAAGTCACAGGTTCCAAAGTGTTTTGGCATCTCCAGAAAACAAACAACCTTCGGATTGCTTTTATTTGGAGGGGGCCAAAGCGCAGTTTGCAGCGTGACGTGCAATCCCAGTGTACACACCAAAGCTGCTCCTTGGGACTTGGCTGTGTTTGGGCTCAACTGGTTTGGTTTGAAGCTGGGGAGAGTTTTGTAGAGGAAGTGGAGGAAAAATAGCACTTGGGTGTGTGGGTGTCTGAGCAGCTGAAATCAAATGTGGTTTATGTGTTGCAAAATGACTCAATGGATTGGGGTTTTTGAACGGAAAATCAGAAAATCCTTATTTTTTTTGGAGTAACCTGGGCTAGTGGAAAATGTCCCTGCCCATGGCAGGGAGTGGAACGAGATAAACTTGAAGGTCCTTTCCAATCCAAACCATTCTGGGATGCTTTGATTTTTTGCCTTGCTCTGAGCAACCCTGAAGCCACAAAGGTCCTTCCATCCCAGATTCCTCCCCAGCCTTACCCTTCCCTGAGGGTTCTCTGCCTCTCCAAGCCAGAGCTGCACACAAATCATTGGGTGACAGGTGCATTATTTTATTCTCTGTTCTGCAAAACACATAGCAGGTGACATTTGGGCAGTTTGGGGGTTCAGCCCTCGACACAAAGTGTTTGGTTTCTGAGCAGGACAATGAGCAGTGAGGGGTTGTGTGTGCCTGGAGTTCATAGCTCTGCCTTGGCTTTCCTGAGGGAAATTCATGTACAAGGAAGGTTCTTCCTTAAGTCTTCATCAGTCACCTTCAACAATATTTTTTCCCCCATAGATAGCTGTAAAATCAGAAAACAGAAGAAAATCTGTGATTGCCATTGTATCTCTATAATATTTGTACAAATGATTTCATGACGTTTCTGGTTTTATGCCAAACTTAATATTTTAAATGGGTCTGATACTTTAGGGAGTCTTGAGAATAGAAAGCTGGAAAAACCTGGATCAGAGGGGACTTGGAGTCAACCTCCTGCTCAGCCAAAGTGGAGAATTCTCCCAGGCCTTGCCCCAACTCAGACATCTGGGAACAAAAGGTACAATTAAGAGTTTCTGCTTGACCTCCTCATTTCCAGAAGTTTTTCACAGGATGTTGATTGCTAATTTTTAAGGTTTTTAGGAGACATGTACTATTTTCTTTCCATTCTTTAGGGACTCTAAGACCCATTTGGCTCTCAGTGCATTGCAATGAGAATATCAAATGTCATCACCAAAGTTTTGAACACTATTCCACTAACTTTTTTTTCATGGATTACTTTGCACTGATCCAAATTCCCACAGATTAAATAGTCCTTCAAATATTTGCCCATGTTTTCCCTATCAGCTTCTCCCTAAAGAGAATATTCACACTGAGACAGACCCACTGTACTTATAACTTGCCAGAAGACAAAGACTCTTACACATAAGTTGAGCATCCTGAATCTTCCAAGGATGGAACAGATTTTCCTGCAGAGTGGGACAAAAAAAAAAAAAAGAATGATATGGTTGCAAATAGATTTTCCTGCAGAGTGGGACACAAAAAAAAAAGAATGATATGGTTGCAACACAGTGAACAATAATTACTTCTGTTTAATATTGGAGAAGGTGATAAGCAATCAGTCTTTATTCAAACAAGCAAGAGTGCTAAGAGTTTTATTACACTTAAGCAGATCTAATAATCAACCCTCTAATAAGTGTATAAACGTTATACAGGATTTAATCCATGTTTTTTGAAATCTATGGGTTAATATTCAGGTTTACTACACTTAAGCAGATCTAATAATCAGCCCCCTAGTAAGTGTATAAATGTTATACAGGATTTAATCCGTGTTTTTTGAAATCTATGGGTTAATATTTCTTAGGAAGAAGTAAAGGCAATAGTTTGGCATCAGAATGCAAGTCCTGGAGTGTAATTCCTGGACTGCAAACCTGCAGTGTTTCCTGTGGAGGTATTTTACACACTAAAACAAACACTCTGCTTAAAATTTGGGTTTATTCTACCAAAGGAGGTGACACTTGCAGAGCCAATTCCAGAAAACACCCACCTACATTTTCCAGAGTCTGTCTTGCATTCCTG